GCCATTATATAATCTTGTATTGACGACCCATTTATAGTTTCCAAAAGGTTCTTTTCAATTGTAACACTTACTGCATCTTCCTGTTCTTGCATATCACACTGAAGTGGTGTCTGTATTAAACTTTCTAATGCTTGGACATTCAAGGGATCTGTCAAGTCTACTATATTTTCAATTGATGGTCTGTCATGTGGTGGTTCCAATGTACAATCTTCATTTGGTACACCAATTGCATTCAGTGGTTTATTTCCAAAGGCACTTTGTGCTCCTTTAGAAAAATCTGGATCTTCCCTATTGTCAATATAGGTATTTTCTTTATCCAAGGCTCCTATTTGATCCATGTTTGACTGGCCTGTGCTTTCTGAGTTTTCTTTTTTGTTATTCAATGTTTTGTACATCGAGTCCACATTACTTCCTAGATACTGTTCATTGGAATCAACTAAACTTGTATGGGGATCATTCCATTTAAAAGGAATTTTCTTTTCACTTTCTACTGTTGCTAAGATGTCTTCCATCAAGTCTACTATTGCAGTTTCTATAGGCTCTTTCTTTATTCCAGTTGGCAAATGAGAATCTACATTTTTCACGTTGTTGCCAAGTGTTTTAAATGAGATTTCTTTTATATTGCACTGTAAATTCCCTTCAATAGACATTTTATCAAGAATGTAATTTCTTCTTAAAATGACATATGAATCAGAATCTGGACCTAAAAGACTTGTATCAATGTGCACATTCATTCTCTTTGTGAGCCACTCTCTATCACCTATATAAACTGTTCTTCCTACAACTTTCCTTCTTAAAGCTCCAGTAGGAAAGGCTCTCTGTTCAACTCTAACTTTCTCTTTGTGAATGCTCATGATATGCTTATGACATCCTCCTCTTGATCGAAAACTCTTCTTACATTTTCCACAATAAAAAGCAGATATGTTCAAATGGTGGCTGAATAAATGTTGATATACACTATCGTAACTAGTAAACTCTGCTTTACATAGAACACATGCATAATTGAGTTTTCCCTCGTTTTTCTCATTTTTATACAGCCGGCCTACAAAGTAGTTTTTGTTTTTAGAAAACCATTCTTCACTGCCTAGCTCCATTATACCATTATTCATGTTTACTGCACTTTCAGGCAAGTTACGCATTGCTAATCTGAAGAGGTTTTTATTGTTGTGTTTTGATGTACAATGGGTCTGAATGTCTGCCTTTTCTTTTATCACAACACCACACTCATAACATTTGTATGCAGTATTCAAATGTTTTCTACTGATGTGCCTCAGAATGTTTTGTTTCTGCAAAGACTGGATTGAACAAGCTCCACACTTAAACAATCTTGCTGGAACAGGTATTGAATTTAAACTTCTAGCTTTACAAGATGAGAAGAAATAGCGCTTGTTTTGTGAGAACCATTGTTTATTCCCCAAAATAACGTTTTGACCCTTTTTCACGGTGACACTTGCCGGCAGATGGAATAGTAAATTTCTAAAACAATTAGCTGAGGAGTGCATTGTCCTGCAATGTTCTTCTACCTCTGCTTTCAGATGAAACACTTGCTTGCAAACAGTACACATGAACTGTTGATTGGAATGGTTGCCCATGTGAACTGAATTGATGTGAGTTAGGGTATGAAATTTATTTTGACTCTTGTAATGACAACCCCCACATTTGTAGATCTTTGAACCAAATTGGGGTTTAAGATTCTCGAATGTGGATTTTGGCTTTGCTTTTTTGATTTTGTCACCAGGTATTGAGCATACCATAAATTTACCCCTTTGGTCAAATGAGATATGAGGCAATTTAACATTTGAAACATGGAGAAGAAAGCTCTTGATGTTTTTGTGCACACCTTTAAAATGCTTTTGCAAAGCAGGCAAGCTAAAATCTCCAAAGTTACATAATTTGCAACGAAATGGTTTAGCTTTGAGATGTACTCCATTTACATGCCTTCTCATAGCACTTTTATCCCAATTAGTCTTCTTGCAGATACCACACTGGTACTTTGTTTCTTCTCTGCTCACCTTCATTGGACCTTGTGACAAAACTGTTTTTGTAGGTTTTCTTGAAGGGAATTGTTCAATATTCTTAGAACTTTTTGCTGTTACTATTGTATAATGGTCATGAGCTGAATATACCAACAGACCATATGGTAGGTCTTTTTTAACAATATGTTTAGCATTTGTGCTGCCATGCCTTTTCTTCAGATGTAGTTTCATATTTGTAATATTATTAGTAGGCTTAAAATTATTAC